GAGCAGAAGCAGATATTTAAAGGAGAACTATGAGGTGAGTGCTTTTCACTCAGCTCATAGTTCTAGCCGACCTGTGACAATGACACTGTCACAGGTCGGCTCAGTAGATCGGGAGGTGAGCAAGCACATACCGGCGTTCGCTCACCTCTCGATTCTGTCACGGCTCTCTGCCTTGAGCCAGCTGTCAGCCACACAGCTGGGCGGATCCAGACATAATTGTCGGGATCCGCTTCAGCTGCGGCGTCTTAGTATACCGCGAGCTACAGCTCGTGGTATATTGAGCCTAGGGTGACGGGAGGACGCTAGTTTTTGTCCTCCCGTTACCCTAAGGAGAACTATGGGGAAAAGCCTTAACCCCATAGTTCTCCTTTAATAAGCCCCAGAACCTCCACTGTTGAAATAATAAAAATTAAAAAAAGAATAATTTCACATTCACTACTTTTAAGATAAATTTACCTCTGTAGTGAAAAAACAAAACAACAGCAATGCAATGAAGAGAATACACTACCAATCCAACAGCTGTTAAGCATGCTTTCTCAAGACTTAAAGGAGAACTATGAGATGAGTGATTTCCACTCACCTCATAGTTCTAGCCCCTGTGTGACAATGAGACTGTCACAGGTCGGCTCAGTAGATCGGGAGGTGAGCGAACACATACCAGGTTCGCTCACCTCTCGATCCTGTCACGGCTCTCTGCCGTGACAGGGGGAGGGAAAAAAAATCTGCCAGCGCTGACTGGCGGAATGGACGGGGGAGGGGGCGGGTACAGCTGGCTCTGCCTCTAGATAGGCAGAGCCAGCTGTCACTCACGCAGCTGGGCGGATCCCGTCATCTACGCTAGTTTGTGTCCTCCCGTTACCCTAAGGAGAACTATGGGGAAAAACACTGACCCCATAGTTCTCCTTTAAGATACCTTCCCTGTACTTCTACATTAAGGCTAGGTTCAGACCTAAGCGACACCTGGGATTTCATTGGGGTTTCATCCGCGCAGCAATTGCTAAAAAAAAAAAGGGGGTACAAGTACCTTTTTCTGCAACATACGACACATGGCTTTTTTAGCCGGAATCGTGTTTAATTGCACAGGCGGAATCGCGGTGGAAAATCGCGAAATCCGCCCGATGCGACTGGGATGCCATTAGAAAACAATGGCACTGCTAGCGCGGTCAGCAGTGGTGGGCACCTCTATGACCGCCCAGCAATTCGCGTGGTTTTGTGTACGATTGCCACATGGTCACGGATCGCCTAGGTGTGAACCTAGCCTTAGACCCCTACTATTTTAGCAGTATTGCACAACTTGCTCATTATTGTGTTGGGTGGCCTGACAGACAGTGAGGTTTAGGAGGTGGTAGAGGGCCAGGTGCTCATCACATCTGGCTGTAAAGTGTTTGCATACCAAAGCACTCTGAGGCCTTAAAAATAAAAAAGGGATCTGACTTGTTGGTCCTTGGAGGACAATGCTGGCTTAGAGAGAGAGAGACATATATATATTGGGCAGTCTGATCCAATTTATGACATAAATTGGATCAGACTGCCCCCTTTGCCCTCTCTATCCCCCATAGACACTCCTTTTTACTTACCTTCTCTAACAGCTGTAGCCTATACCAGCATGGAAGTTCTAGTCCTTTTGCCTTCTGAACATGCACAGCGGTTTCTCTATAGAACCGACTTGAGGTGCTGTCTCCATGCTTGGTTGCAAGTAAGTGACTTTTCCATTAGGTAATATAAAGAAACCACTGCACATGCGCAGTCATTACTAGTAAAGGAATGAAAATGATCACAGACCTGAGACTGATCCCATAAAACCCTGTATTCTTTCTTACATCATTAACTTTATTTTTCTTTCATGGAAGCAGTGCAAGAACCTGAATTTGACATGGAAATCTCCTACTGGGAAAGGGAGAATTAGTACAAGCAACCACTTAGTTAAACTGCACTGCTCATGCTATAACATGGAGCATATAGATAATAAAAAAGACAGAGATGAGCTCATCGGTCTGCTGCTTTTCCTTTAATGTCTAGTCAGAGACTAGGAGAGTGACAAGAACTGTAAGTGTTACTTAAAGCAGCAGAGAGAAAAAAGTAGCCAGATATGGCTGTGAGCTGAGTAAATCTCAGGACTGGATGGACAGAAATACAGATCCTTTGCGAGGTAAAACAACTGTTATATATGCATTTAATCTGTGTGTTTAGCTGTGTACCTAAAGTTCATCTTTAACAGCTTCTCAATGAATGGATGTTGCAGCTCTCTGCAAGCTGACTGGCGGAATGGACGGGGGAGGGGGCGGGTACAGCTGGCTCTGCCTCTAGATAGGCAGAGCCAGCTGTCACTCACGCAGCTGGGCGGATCCCGTCATCTACGCTAGTTTGTGTCCTCCCGTTACCCTAAGGAGAACTATGGGGAAAAACACTGACCCCATAGTTCTCCTTTAAGATACCTTCCCTGTACTTCTACATTAAGGCTAGGTTCAGACCTAAGCGACACCTGGGATTTCATTGGGGTTTCATCCGCGCAGCAATTGCTAAAAAAAAAAAGGGGGTACAAGTACCTTTTTCTGCAACATACGACACATGGCTTTTTTAGCCGGAATCGTGTTTAATTGCACAGGCGGAATCGCGGTGGAAAATCGCGTAATCCGCCCGATGCGACTGGGATGCCATTAGAAAACAATGGCACTGCTAGCGCGGTCAGCAGTGGTGGGCACCTCTATGACCGCCCAGCAATTCGCGTGGTTTTGTGTACGATTGCCACATGGTCACGGATCGCCTAGGTGTGAACCTAGCCTTAGACCCCTACTATTTTAGCAGTATTGCACAACTTGCTCATTATTGTGTTGGGTGGCCTGACAGACAGTGAGGTTTAGGAGGTGGTAGAGGGCCAGGTGCTCATCACATCTGGCTGTAAAGTGTTTGCATACCAAAGCACTCTGAGGCCTTAAAAATAAAAAAGGGATCTGACTTGTTGGTCCTTGGAGGACAATGCTGGCTTAGAGAGAGAGAGACATATATATATTGGGCAGTCTGATCCAATTTATGACATAAATTGGATCAGACTGCCCCCTTTGCCCTCTCTATCCCCCATAGACACTCCTTTTTACTTACCTTCTCTAACAGCTGTAGCCTATACCAGCATGGAAGTTCTAGTCCTTTTGCCTTCTGAACATGCACAGCGGTTTCTCTATAGAACCGACTTGAGGTGCTGTCTCCATGCTTGGTTGCAAGTAAGTGACTTTTCCATTAGGTAATATAAAGAAACCACTGCACATGCGCAGTCATTACTAGTAAAGGAATGAAAATGATCACAGACCTGAGACTGATCCCATAAAACCCTGTATTCTTTCTTACATCATTAACTTTATTTTTCTTTCATGGAAGCAGTGCAAGAACCTGAATTTGACATGGAAATCTCCTACTGGGAAAGGGAGAATTAGTACAAGCAACCACTTAGTTAAACTGCACTGCTCATGCTATAACATGGAGCATATAGATAATAAAAAAGACAGAGATGAGCTCATCGGTCTGCTGCTTTTCCTTTAATGTCTAGTCAGAGACTAGGAGAGTGACAAGAACTGTAAGTGTTACTTAAAGCAGCAGAGAGAAAAAAGTAGCCAGATATGGCTGTGAGCTGAGTAAATCTCAGGACTGGATGGACAGAAATACAGATCCTTTGCGAGGTAAAACAACTGTTATATATGCATTTAATCTGTGTGTTTAGCTGTGTACCTAAAGTTCATCTTTAACAGCTTCTCAATGAATGGATGTTGCAGCTCTCTGCATATAGCCTTGTAGTGTACAAACATACATACAGGTGGGAAGCCTCTAATGCTGCAATTTAGAACAGGTCCATGACCTGCTGTACCCAGGAAGCCATAAGATTCATGCCAAGGATAGGCTGATGACATCACTTGTGGAGTTATAAACAGTATCTGCAGATTAGTAGTCCACAGTTCTAAACATTGAGCAATATACTGTAAATGACCAGCTTTTGTAGTTAGCCCAACAATGACAAAGCCATATGTCCTGTACTAGAAATATCTGCAATATTTGGAGGCTCTTTCCTACTTTTGGAACCAAATCCCTCTGTCTCTCATTCATCCTCAGGTGTCCCTCTATTTGGTCTGATGTAAAGACATCTACAAAAAACGTTCTACTTGGCTACTACACATAATCTTACTTCCAACCTTCTCATGATTACTGTTACCTTCTAAAGCCAATATAAAGGTAAATGATCTTGTAATACAGGGTCTTGTAGCTGTCCCTCTCGACAGCGTGATTACGAGCAATGTGGGACCAGCGGTGGCCACTGATCACATTCAAGTGGTGAAGAAAAGAGGAGCAGAAAGTGGCTGTCACAGGACCATGGGTAAAGGTAAATAAAGTTAGGCCTTATCTCCTTAATAAAATGTGCATTAAGATCGGTGCATCAGCTGGGGCCTTGGGGTTTATTAATTGTGTTACTTCCTGGAGTTCCGCATTGAAGCCTGTCTGGAAAAAAAATAAAACTCTCCACATTTCTACTGTTCCCTCTCATTGATGCTGAACAAGCAATGACCGCCAGTATCAGCTCCAGTCATGCTTTCGGCCCTAATAGTGTAATGACAGCAGAAGAGATAAAGACATCCATGGTAAATGGTTAATACTATACACTGGCACTCCATTTTGATAATGCTGCTGTAAATGGGAACTTTGAAAGCTTACATTTCAGCTCGGTATTGTATGTGCAGAACAGTGTGAAAAGCTATATAAACAAGCATTAAACCTGCCACTCATCTTTCAGTCGTTTGTTTAAGCAAACTTAATGAGGCTACAAGGACATACAATATGTTACTCAACAGACAAGCAAAAGTCAGGGCACATTATGGAAACAGAAATAAAGATGCTCCAGAACATACAATTTCCAAACATGTTCAGGAAAACAAAATGTCAAAAGGAAAAAAAGGTTAAATATTCCTTAACAAACTACAAAGAAAACAATAAAACCACAACACAAACGAAGGAGTTACCTTTAGCTGGATTTACTTGTATTCCTGATCTATAAAGCATTTCTTCGTTCTTCCAATCTCCATTTCTAACAACAGTTTTCATTCCATAAAAAACAATTATTGAAGCAGCGGCCAAAAATACGAGGCTCTTGAGAAAGCTTTTTTGGGCCTTAATATAAAGAGCTCTGGCTCCCATGGTTATTAGTAAACAGAATCCCATACTGGGAATATAGAGTACACGCTCGGCAATTACAAAGCCAACGTAGAAAAATAGATTACTAGCGGGCACAAAGGGAACTATCAATAGTGATAAAGCTAAAACAACTATGTTTTCTGTAGAAGGAAGTTGCAATCCATAGTTGATATGGTTTTTTACACCATTTTCAAGTTTTGAGACAATGCTAGTCCTCTGCTCTGTTGTCTTGTATTCTAAATCTGAGTGACAGCTATGGCCATTAGTATTCTGCTTGCCATTCATGAACACTTTCCCATTGCATTCTCTTTTTATACTCGAGCTCTTGAGACTTGTGTAGGCAAGGAGGAAGAGTAAAATGTAAAAGGCCACAGTGTGTATATTCCTCCAGTCAATGAGCGATTTAATCAGAGGCACAGCATCCATTGACCAATCAAAGCTGAGTGTGTCAGGGCAAAAAAGCAGCCACAGGTTCTTAGTTGGCAAGTATAGAAAGGTCAGAGTACGTGTGAGCAAATTTTCACAGTCCGCAGCCGGGTTGTCAGAGTTCGAGAAACTTGGCGGCATGTTTCCCATCCAGTAAAAGCGCACACCCAGCAATACAGCTCCCCAGGCGACCAAAAGGCCAATGCTAAGAACGAAAGACACATTCTTGCCCTGAAACCAAAAGACAAAGGAACCATTAGATGAACAATCTTTAAAAAGGATAGGAAAAACATGCACTGTATGTGGAAAAAAAGACAAAATGATTCACCATCGTTCTTAAGTTTAACTTCATCATTTGACATTTGAAACACCAATTTAGTTTACAGTAATTTTCAGAAATACATTTAAAAGCACATTTTTTTTTTGTATCAACAACTCAAAGATACACTCAAAGATACATCAAAGGGATAAACTTATGCAGATGCAAATAAAAACTAAATCAATATAGTGCATAGGTAAAGATATCCAAAATGCTTTGACCCATAACAACCAGATTTCAGTTTGCTGTTGGAAAAAATGTAAAGAAACCTGGGTAATATGACATGTGCCGTTTTGGACTTCTTCTGAAAATGCTAGTCTGCTTGGCTGTCTCTTGCTTCATTCCTTTCTGTGTTATTAATTTGGGCCAGACATACAGATTAGAAAAAGTGCAGTCAGCAGTCCTTATCTCCATATCTGTTACAGGACTATGGCTTAAGCCGGTCATACACTGGTGGACTTTCAACTGAGTCAGCAGGACTTCGACCAGTTTGTGCCCCACTAAGGATCCCAGTTTGACTTTTGTCAAAGAAGCCAGTCCAAAAAATCTCAGACGAAGAGTTAATGTAGTCAATCAGCTTTGGGTCTTATCACAGTGGCACATCTGCCACTGCCAGAATACAATAGAGAATTGGAGGGGAATTCCCCATCCATGCTATTAGTGTGAATGGGGCAATCTAGAGAAGACATTGAAATTGCTAAATTTGCATTACAGCCAGGAAACTAGCACTTTCAGGAGAGGTTAGTGATAACACTCCCTCAGCACAGGTTTCCATTAAAAATTACCCCTGGTTGCTATGGGTGACTGTACTTAGTCAATTAACCTTGACAGATTTGTATGCATAGATATGAAATACTAAAAATATTGAGCAACTATGGGATTATTCTTTAGACAAAATTCACATTGAAAATCAGAAATAAACACAATAACGTGAAAACCTGTATATTGTCCTAAAACAAAGTGTGTTGGCACATAATATAACTATAGCTCAAGAAATGAGCCCGCTATGCCATGCACATACATACCCAGAGTAGCTCATGTGACACGAGCACATGGGTCAAAACATGGTTGAAAGACTTCCAGTCTGGTTGTTTACAGAGCATTCAAATACCTACTTTTCCCCACATTTACATGGCTAGGTTTTTAAATGCAACATTTGGTACTTAGTGCATACGGAAGACCAGCATGTATACAGATTACAGTAAACAAAGTTACATCTCTGGTTCTTTTTTTTTTTTCAGAACTGGATAATTGCTTCCATTTCCTCAGTCGGGAATGGCATTTCCATCTTAAGAGAACATAGAGACTACAGTTTACTGAAAATAACAGACGTTCTGTAATAAGCACAGAGATCTATTTCATCTGAATATGCATACTGTGTGCAGGCTACAACAGACACCACAGGGCAGTGTCTCCACACAAAAAAGATGAGGCTATTCAGAATTCATGCATTGTCTCTCCCTCAGGCACGTACATGATGATGTTTACCAGCCGAAAGAAAATTTAGAGCTCCCACCTTAGGACGTATATAACAATGAGTGCATAGTTGTGCAAGGCTTGTTTTGTGTCTCTGCACTTTAAAGAAGAACTCTGGGCAGTAGAATCTCTGGGTCTAAAATACACACCCTATCCTTGGTCCCGCTTGGCTGCTAGACCGGTCCCTGCAGCCTCTCTCCCTCTCTGCTCCGGTGCTCTAAGGATACATGACAGCTGCAGTGACCGGTCTAGCAGTCAGGGGGGACTAAAATTCGAGTGAGTATATTTTTGTTATTTTAGACCCTAGACCAAAATGAGCACCTAACCCTTACAGTGCAGGGCAGGCACACAACAAGGGTTAAGTTTTTTCTTCTAACCCCAAACTCGCTCATCCATGTCTTTATGGATCAGAATCCAATGATTTGGAGGGGTGCCCCAATACTTTTGGCAATATAGTGTGTATGTGTATATATACATACATATACCAAGATGGCAGCTCTGCTAGACTACAGCTAGGGACCAAACTTCACAGAGGCACCTTGACGCGGCAGTGTGGCTTCCACATACACTTGCAAATGTATGCAACTAAAACCTCAGTTTTAATGTAAAGTGTTTTGTTAGTCTGAATACCTGATAAGTGCACTGGGAAACTTTTGTATTGTATAATTCATACAAGTTACTGTACATCTAGCTATGTAGACTGCTGATGGTCTGAACAGATGAAGGTAATGCATATTTCTCTCATTGTAGCTTTGCTTTAAGAAAATGTATGCGACTGTAAGAAGAGTTAGCAAACCATGACACTCTATTTCCTGATTATTTAGGATGACATAAAACAGCAACAATCCAGCAGAGAGAATCTTGGCTCATTCGTAGTAACTCAATACAAATTAGAAGACTTCAGTGCCTACTAAATGTGATTTCCAAAATTGTCACATCAAATCTGCAAAGACTTTCGGCTCCAACTAAAGTCTAGAGAGTGACTAGGATTTTTTTTCCTCAAAGATCCCTGATGCATTTAGTGTTTTTCCAAAGTGGGATTGTATGCTCTTCCCTGGTACTTCTTGTCTGAAATCTAGGCCCTACAATGCACCTCTTGTTAAAAATGATCTTTAATTCCTTTGGTGAAAAATTAAAGAGCTCAGGAATGTAAAGCTTATATTCACAAAAGGTACTGTGGAACAGGGGCTCTTTATGGGTAACTAATAAAGAGCTGCACAACCCACTCTCTCTGCCTATACATATAGAGGAGATATTTGATTTGAGAAATCTACATATATTTATAAACAGAATAGTATGCAGTACTTTAGAGAATGTTTTTACTATTATAATCAGCCCCTGCTAGGTGAAACTTTAACTTTATAGAACTCTGAACAAAATTTTGCTTAACCATTACAATGGGACTAACCCGCCCCCCCCTCTCCCCCCCTGCAAGTGTTAAGTGCTAAAATAACAAAGTGATACTCACCTGAACTTCTGGCTTGCTCTTAGTCCGGCCCTTCCAGCCTCGCTCCCCCTCTGCTCCTGCGGTCTAAGGGTCCTGGAGTCATCATGTCTCCAATAGATTGTGTATAGGATGTGAGGATGCTGAGGGACATGCAATCTTTGGTGCGTAGTAGACAGTCTAGGGATATTGCTCTAACAGCCAGCTGGCTCCGAGGTTCAGGTGAGTATAACATAGATATTTTTGCACCTAGACCTAAAAGAGCACTTGACCCTTGCAGTGCGGGAATAGCCCCACTAAGACAAATTTCTTTGGGGGTGGGGGTTTAGAACCACTGTGAGATTTTTATTGATACACAGAATCACTCTTCTTTCTTTGCAAGAAGGAATGTATATAAATAACATAAAAATAAACAAAATCAGCATTTCACAACAGGATCTGTCCCACTTACAATACACATACCAGGGTAAAAGAAAAATAAATCTTAGGATGCTGTTGCTACTATAACACATTACATACTTTGAAAAAAATCCAACTCGGAAGCTACTTGGTCCGAAATTGGAAATGCAATGCCAAAATGAATTCGCTCAAAGAATACCAAGTGACTGTTGCCTCATAAATGGAATGGACTTTTCTACATAGAGATCCATTCTGCAAAATATTCTTTGGTGTGATAGGCTATATCAAATAAGAGGCTAAAATATTAGGAACTCTCCCCTTGTAAACTATGTGTAAACTAGAAATATCTTAGCAGGCCACATACTTGTATGAGATCCATGTCATATGTTAGAATATTGTATAAATCCATATAATATTGTTATAAACAGAGAAATGGCACACCCAAAAAACAAGTTTATTTCACTCGCTTTCATATACGAAAATCTTGTAAATTCTGGATTTATTAAAGCCATGTGTTGGTGCTAATCAGATGATTTAACGTCACAGAAAAATCTTAATGTATCACTTGCCTGAGTGTATCACATATATGTTCATAGTTTCATTCATGCTGGAAAGTACATCTAGCGCTGCAACTATATACAGAATGCCTTGTGAATCAATTCACAGAATACAAGACTGGCAACGGGGAGAAGGAAGGGCAGATGAGCAACTGTACAGCTTCTGTCTATACAGGGTCGGTGCTAGACTATTTTGCACCCCAGGCTAAACCAGCTACTAACCCCC